CCAGCGCTGAGCACAGCATTCGAGGGGCGGCCTCCCCAGTGCCCAGCACAGGGGGACGATCCCTGCCCTGCTCCTGCTGGCCACACCATTCCTGACACAAGCCAGGATGCCACTGGCCCTCTTGGCCACCTGGGCACACTGCTGGCTCATGTTCAGGTGGCTGTCAACCAGCACCCCCAGGTCCTTTTCTGCCAGGCAGTCCTCTGATCGTTCCCCACTTTGCGAGCATCGGGAAGCAGAGAAACCTGGCTTCTTTCGGATTAATTTAGAAAGCGCCTTCCAGGAGCGCACCTAAGGTACGCCAGCTGGTAATGGGTGCCTAGCTCATGGGATGAGACCAGGACTGGTCTACTGAAAACCTCCCAACGTTTAGTGTGTCCTCATCAGGCTCTCAGTATTGCAAACTCTTGCTGCCACTCCTCTGTGGAGCCAGGCAATTTGGGAAATAATTTTGATCTGCTTAGCAGCAACAGGTGGGCAGGGGAGTCCCTACAGGAAGGATGGGCAGCTATTTCAGCTATACCATATCAATTCAAAAAGCAAATAGAGTGACTCACTATGTCACCAAAGATGTGACATTGTCATCATTGGCTACAGGTCACATCAAATAAACTCAGTGCTGCCTCTGCTACATATAAACACAGCTACTGTTACGTGAGATTTGATCAGGTCACGTTGCCATAAGGGAGTCGCATCTTGGGTCCTGGGACTGCTCCTTGATGATGGTACGTCAGGGCTGTCTAAAAAGAAGTTTTGTCTTCTTTCTGCTCTCTTATCCACCAGTAACTCTTTGTAGCTTCTAGATGCTCTGCAGAAGTCATTTCTTCTACCCAAGCATGGTCTTTATTGTATTCTCCACGGTGAGCCAACTCTCACTTCACTTTTCCCTTCCACTTGTTGTGATCTTCAGAGCTGCCTTTGTCTAGATCGTTATAAAAAATTGGGTTTGAGGCAAGTAATGTGTTGTTACTGGTCAGTTCTCAAGGTCCTTGTCTGGATGGTTTTGGTGTCTTCAGTACTATCTGAATGAGTGAGAAAACAATTTCTGCTGATCCTGTAAAGCCCACGTAATGCAATACTCACTCAACACCAACTCTTTCAGATCCCCTCCTGTTGCACTACGCAGTTTGCTCGTGTAGGTAGATCCTGTGCGGTGCTGGAACGAACTAGCTGGTAATTAGTGCAGAAGTTGACTGCTGCTTAGAAGACCATGTTCTGTAGACATCTCAAGCCGTTTCTTTTGCAAAGCAGTAGAGACATGGACCTAAATGCAGGTTGAGTGAAGGCAGATGCAAAACTACTCATTCTACATTAGCAAGTTTGTACCTGGATCTGAGTTTAAATTAGAGCAAGTCCCTTGGTTAGCAGCCAGAGTTGCTGCCCCCGTCTCGAGGAACTCAAGAAACGTAGATTTTAGGGTTCTGACTTACAAACAGGCAACCATGTGGGTTACCAGCCCTTCTTGAAAGCTTGCAAATAGGGTTAGAAGACTAGTTCTGTCCCATTGGCAAGCACATTTCTATTAAAGTAGTCGCACGTTTTATCTTTAATATGACTGCAGTAACAGCAGTTCTTATCCAGTACTGCTAAAATCCATCTAGGATTAAATTGGCCTTTAAGAAAGCACTTCATGTTTTCTCTGAATCATAATAGTTTATGGATCCATGAAATTGGTTTTGGTCTGTTAAACATGTTGCTTAAATATTTTTAAAGAAGTTTTCCTTTTTTCTTTTCCTTTTTGTATTCATCATCGCTGCTTCTCTTTGACCAGATTGAATTAGTCAGAAGAGATTATGTGGCTAACGGTGGCTGGGAGACCTTCCTGTCCTACGAAGATCCAGAGCAGGATATTCTCGTTGGCCTTCTACGCCTGCGCAAGTGTTCAGAGGAGTCGTTCAGACCTGAGCTGAAAGGAGGCGTTTCCATCGTCCGGGAACTGCACGTGTATGGGAGCGTGGTCCCCGTGAGCAGTCGGGATCCTTCAAAATTTCAGCACCAGGTACTCCAAGCCATCTCTGTTTTTCATCTGTGCCTCTTTCTTGCGCCCCTCTCCCCAATATACTTGGAGAAGAATTTTATTTAATATCTGAGATTCATTCCGTTGCTTTGAATTATAGTCCACTGCAATAGAAACAGAATTGAATTTGAGCCCCTTCTTGCATTTCATCTGCTGAAATCGTGCTGCTTCTGAGTTTTTGCTAGTGTGGTCATGTTTAGGCAATTGCAACTGCTCTGAGATAAAAAAAAAGCATGCCTGAATGCTATCAGCGGTGCTTCATGCCCATACAATACGAGCTCATGTATGCTGGTGCTAATTTGGCTTTCGAGTACTAAGCATCTTTGGTTCTGAAGCGTCTTTCCTTTGATACCCTGTATGGTACATCGGACTTCACTGAAAACGAGACAAGAGATACATCCATTGTGTCTTTTTATTTCCTTCTAAAATTGATCTTGTTCGATAGACGAATTTCACTTCTGAAATCGGACATAATTACATATGGGAAGGTGAGATTTTATTTGGTACTACCCAGTTTTCTTTCAAAGGAACATTTATTGAATATATTCTTCCTACCAAAACAAGATACGCAACTTTGGTTCCGAGACGTGCATCAGTTTAAGTGATTTGATGAGACTCCCGAGGTAGGTCTCTTAGTTGGGTCTGACAGTTTTTTGCTTCAGACACACTCGTGAGGCCGTTTCATATATATCTTCAAGCATGTGAAGAATGGAGTGGAAAGCTGTGTTTCTAATTCTTTGCAGTGACCGGTATGAAAATGGCACATTATCCTTCTGCTGCATGTAACATGCTGTGGCTTGCGATGAGCAAAAATGTGAATTAAATTTTGCCCCGGTAGGTTTTGAACCTTTAGACTGTGCTTTTAAAAAAGCAATCAGTTTGTCCTCTTTGCCAGAAGTGCTCAGGGCTGATGTTTTAAATTAACTTCCTTGTATTTATTAATCATTCCCTGAGTATATGCATTAAGATGCAGTTTTGCTAGATGCTGATGATGTGTGACCATAAGGCAGTGGCGGGGAGGTGGGGGGGGAAGAGAAGTGGATGGTTCCACTATAAAATAGTTAACACTTAAAAATTTAAAAAGGAAAAAGTGGTCTTCCTAAGTCTTTTAAAAAAAAAAAAAAAAAGAGAGAGAGAGAGAGAAAGTCAATTGAAAGTACCCAACTACAAACATTAAAATAGGCTGCAAATTGAAATTTCATGGCATATGACGCACTCGTGTTCGTTCGGAATAGTCAGTGTTCAAGAGGTTAATCAGAAACTGTTCTTCACAGTTGTAGGGGCAATTTCTGATTAGAAAGACGTTTTAGAAAAGATTTCTGTGTGTTATTTAAAAATGCCTGTAAGTGTGAAACGTTTTTTAGAATTAAATCACATCTGCTTCAGTGTCGCCACAGCCCAATTCTGTACATCTTGTCAGGAAAACAGATGAACAAAGAGCCGAGCATAATTCCTGCATCCCAATGTTAGGAGTGACTTAATCCAATCAGTTATTCCCAGATATATAGGACAATGAAGTTGTTAAATAGAGTGGAAAGGCTATTCCCATATTTTGAACCGTTATTGTGATTCCAGTAGCCCTCCTGCTGTGCAAGATTCCCGAACGTAAATAGAGGCATGGATCTGGTCCAGAATATCAACATGTCCTTCTGCAGTTCTTTTGGATTCGGCATCTCCGTGTCACGAGCTGAGCCTAGGAGAGCGGCACAGAGCTTGAGCCTAGCCTAGGTCTGCAAGGGTCACGCAGCGGTTTGATGCAGCCTTTCTGGGTAACCCCGACAAGTCGCTGCGTGCCTCGATTCATCATCCCGAAACGAGCACGGTAACAGCTCCTGACTCCTGGAGGGGTTGTGGAAATAAAGATTGCGAGGGGCTAAGGCAATATCTATATCAGAAAAGCGAACAGCAGCAGGGATCTCTGGATCTGTAGTGTCTGGCCACATCTGTTTCGACTGACGTCCCCAGTCAGAATGGCACGGGGATCCTTCTGCAATTCCGCAGTGTAGGCAATTGCATCTGACGTTTGTGCTCTGGCTTTGTTTAGTTCACTAGCCCAAACCTAGGTATAGTAAGGTAGGCGTCCAGATGGGTGATTGCTGTTCAGAATTGGTTATCTCAGCAGGATAGACTTGTTCAGCACCAGGAATGGCGGGATGTGTACCAAGTTGACTTACCATCAATGGATTTAGCTTCCTTCTGTTCCTGCCATTAAGAAGCAGTCAGACGCTAGAACTGCCTATGAATAATATCACGATCAGAAAAAAACCCTGAGAAAGCTCCACTGTAAAGCTTAGCGTTGGTGCACCTCTCCTGCAGTACTCTTCTCAAGCCCTCTCCTGCAGTAAGGTCTTGATCATTCCTGTGCCAAAAATATGACTCTCTTGGAACTCTACTAATGCTTACATTCTGACCTTGCTTATGCTTTCTATTTTTATAGAACTTATCTTTTCTTCCTGTTTTTTCTCCCATTACAGGGATTTGGTATGTTACTAATGGAGGAGGCAGAAAGAATAGCCAAGGAGGAGCACGGGTCATGGAAAATTGCTGTAATTTCAGGTACCTTTGCTTTATCCTTTTTTTATATATATATGTGTGTGTGTGTGTGTGTGTGTGTGTGTGGTGTGTGTGTGTGTGTGTGTGTGTGTGTGTGTGTGTGTGTGTGTGTGTGTGTGTGTGTGTGTGTGTGTGTGTGTGTGTGTGTGTGTATGTATATCTCTTAATCTGAAAATAAACCCACTGCAGCCAACGCCACTGCTGTGAACATTCATTGTATTAGGTAGAAAATGAGCATCAGCAGATGCTTCTTCGTAACAGAGTCAAATTCCATCGTAGCTTTGTCCAGACAATACTATTATTGTAAGCAGCATACCAGAGGACACGCTGCGGGGAACCATCCTGCTCTTAGTGCCCAAGGAGACAGACTGCGTGACCACGGGTGTCTTCCTCCTCCAAACACTGCTTTTTCCGACCTCGCTGATTCAACCCCGTCGCAGGTTGTTATTGTCGAGGGCTGCTTTCCAGAGCTTACGAGGATAGAAAATTGCCGGCCTCCATTTTAGAGTCTTTCTGCAAGTACCGTCATTAGGGTGGACAGATGTGCTTTTAGGATACATTAAGCATTATCATGAAGAAGGGAGCTATATAAGAGCGAGCTGCAGCCCTTTCTCCTGTTTCATTTTCAAGGCATTGTGACTAAGACGAGTGGCATCAGTTCATCGTGTGTGTGTGAAGTCAAGGTCGGGACTACCTTTGTGCCTCAATTTATCTTATATTAGCAGTTATGCTAGCTGTAGAAAGCTTTTACAGGCACATAGGTTATATAACTAGGGAAGCTGGCGAATTGTATGGGAAGAGAAACTCTTGCTGGCGCAAGATTAACGTATGCTGGAATGTAGACCTTTTAAAAACATAATAATCTTTTGCCTCCCCACCGAAACCCCCCGAAAAGCAGCAAAACACAGCTTTGATCCAAGCTGCTGAGTGCTGAAGTGAAAAGCTTCTCTGTGTGTTTCCAGGAGTGTAACACTCCTGGATGTTGAAAAGCCAAAGTGCGCCATCTCGACAAGTACCGCTGACAAGGGCCAGAGCGTGAGCGAGGGCCGCTGCAGGCAGTAGCCAGATGCCTAAAGATAATTCTGTATTCTCTGGATTCCCTGTTTCTTGTTTGCTTAAGACGTATGCCAGTCCTGTTTCTCTGCTGCTGCTGCGTGGGTGTCAGTTTGAACTGGGAATTTCATACGGTTAAGAAATGTCCGTGTCACGTTGCCCCTCAGTGAGAAGAGAGGCGAAAGTGAAGATGGTTTCTTTTGGTTTCGCTAGAAGCATCTTGGCTCGGGGTGCATGGAGGGAGGAAATCGTGATTCCTTTGTGCTAAAGAACACTTCTTGTGACAAGAACAGAAAACGTACAGCAATTACTAAAAGATGATTTGTGAAAGCATTCATGTTGCTAATTTTAGCTGTATTTTAGCAAACTGATGTGAAGGATGTATTCTTTGCATCGAGATCCAGTGCAAGAAGTCTTGTTTTGCTGCATGCACAGTTTGTGGCATCTTACTAAGAACTTGTCTGCAATTCCCCCCCCCCCCCCCCGGAGTCCAAGGTACAATATGGTACAATTTGTCTTTAAATACGGAATACTACAGCATCTGCAAAGACCACAAGTTTTCCAGCTGTTTCCTTGGAGATGTTACCACTTGAATTTCAGTTCTCCTGTAGGTTTTATCTGAAATAAAAATGCAGCCAGAAGTTCTTTCTCCATTGCAGGATGAACTTGGTTTTGTTAATTTTGGTTTCAAAATAGATTTTTTTTAGTCTGGAAACCCACTGCAAGGTTAGGTCTCCAACATATTGCAAAATTTCGGCTGCTTTCTAGAGAGAAGCATGTAAGGGAGATCCGCTTTGGAGATGTCTCTCGCAGGACTCTATCTCATTAGTACTGCATGTTTTTATTAATGCTTTGTTGCAGTGTTTTGTTTAGCAGTGTCCCTTCTTCAGCAGTATTTTCCAGTCTTGCACTTAATGGCTACATCAGTACTAGTCAACTAAATAGTGCCAGAACGTGCAAAGTGCCTCTTCGGGGAATGGTCCCTGATCCATGGTGATGCACGTGCTTTGCTGGAGAGCTGCGTGGGGCAGTGCTAGTCCATCGGGGCTGAAACCTTCTCAGGGCTCCTGCTAGCAAAGTAACAGAGTGGATGGTTGAATTTCTGTACTCTAACAATTTTTAGGAAAGTTATGTCTAAGTAGCAAATGCTCTCTTTGGTTCCTTCAAAAAGAAATACATATATTTTTTTAAGATAGGACAGCATGAAGGGTTTTCATTGTTGGCTAAAGGTTAGGGCTTATCTTTAAGCAAGTTCAGCTCTGGTTGGAAATCATAGAATCATAGAATGGTTTAGGTTGGAAGGGGCCTTAAAGATCATCTGGTTCCAACCCTCCTGCCATGGGCAGGGACACCTTCCACCAGACCAGGCTGCTAAAAGCGCAGCTCTGGAAAAAAAAGCAGAAATCATAGCGGGGGGGGGGGAGGCAGTCATCGTGGCTGGGGGGTTGGAATAGATGATCTTTAAAGGTCTCTTCCAACCCAACCCAACCCAACCCAACCCAACCCAACCCATTCCATGATTCTGTGATCATCTGTGACTGTTCCCTACCCTGGCTTTGTGTAGGGGCATCTCATATGGATCAGTTTAGGGACCCCAAATGACTGGGTGCCCCCGGTATCCCGCTGTATGCCAGAGCCTTGCTTTGCACTGTTGATTGCTTGAAGACATTTCCGTCTCGCCAGACATCCATCTCTAGCTTATGCAGCTGGCGGGGGGGCCGCTCACCCTTTAGGGAATGAATTTGGGGAGCTAAATAAGTCCAGAGGGGTCCAGGAGTCTCCGGCTGATTATTTGCCACAGCTTCGGATTGAAGCGTGGCTTGAAGTTGGTTTGGAAATGCATTTAACTCAAGCCAGATTAAGGTAAATTCAGATGAAAGTATGTATGTACAACATCCAGAACAGGCAATACAGTTACAAGTGGTTATGAAAAACAGGAAAGAAAGAAAAAAAACCCATAGGACTGATCTGCTTTTAGTGAGGTTACATGAGAAACCCCTCTCTCCCGTCCAGCTGATTTGCTGCCCATCCTGATCAAGGTACTATTCAACATTTCCTGACATCTCAGGCTGTGTCCATTAGAGCCTCGCTCATTAGAAACCTCTTTACTCCATGGCAGAGCATGTTAGCTGCCAGAGCCAATTTTCCTTTTGTCCAGACTCCCTGCAGGACTTCAGGCATAATCTTTTCTCCTCTGCTTGCTTCCTTCCCGTGTATAACCTAGTCAATACTCTTAATTAAACGTTATTTCACTGCCTTGCGAATGCAGATGTCCCCTTCGTTAGGGCAAGTGTCGTGTCTTGTGCTTGCCCCTTTCTTGCTTCAAGGAGGGCTAAAAGTCCTTCCCCCTCAGCGGTGAGTCAGTGGCATATTTCAGGGTGAAATGTCCGCATTTTTATATTCTCGATCAGGCAGTACTGTAAAAATCACTTGATACAAACATGTAAATGGGAAGCAAGTGAGTAATTCATGATTGCCTCCTGATTAAGATCAGTAGGACCGTAATAATCAGTTTGGGGTGACTGAGCCCAACGTCTTTCTCCTAAGCATACTGCAGCAGCCAGGAATCCACAATTGCAAAGCTGTGAATAGAAATTAAACTAATACCACCTGTTTTCTGTAGTCTCCATGAGAGAGAAAATCATTCATTCTGGTCGGTGACTCATCTCCCGGTCTGTTGGTGCTGCTTGAGCACACTGTCTCATGTGTTTAAGGAAACTGTGCTACTCCTGCCTTCGCCTTTTGCGAAAAGGGAGGTTCAGAACTTTCTAAAAGTAAATCCGCTGCATCACAGCGGTGTTAAATTCACCTGCGATGAAGAACACGAAGGGGAGAGAAACTGAGCTGGCATATAAATCAGAGGTAAACGTTCAGGGCACATTCAACGATACTCTGAAGTATCCTAATTTCCTCGTGTAAACAGCCTTTTGGTCACCCTAGAAGTAATAAATTACTTGAGTAATCGGCGTCTCGTAGTTCATATTGGATGTTGATTCATGGGCTGCCTCGGAGATTGCCAACTGCCGGGGTGTGCTCGGGAGACCTTAGGACGAGACTCCCAGCTATTGCTGGGAGGATTGATGGGGTTTGGGGGGGCTCCCTGGAGTTTTGCTTCCAGCCCTGGTTGGTTATTTTTAGAAATGCCAATCTTACTAGCTATTAATAAGAGAAGAAGTGGCCCAAGGTAAGTGGAAATATGGGAATGTTAATGAATTGACTCTCAGATGTTTGTCTGCTTCAGATTGATGGCCTTTGAAAAAAAATTAATTTGGGGGATTTGGAAGAAGCCAAGGATAAACCCCTACTAGGGGACTGGTGCTGTGGAATAGCGACTGTGTACAATCCTCTAGTTCTTAATGAACTTCAATTTTGAGGGTTTAATAATGTAACAGCTTTGAAAACAGGCTTGGTGCTGTATTAACTGGGATTTGGGCGCAGGCCTGAACAGGAATATTGCTGTCCTTACACAAGGACACTTCTGCAAAAGCCAGCATTCTCCAAGGGTGTTCTGGTAGGAAGCTTTTTATATACATACCATAATATATCTTACAAACAAGGATTTATAATACGGCCTAACTTCTGCGTAATACAGAGCACCTATCTTGCATCTGTCCCAGCTGAGCGAGTTTGGGGAAGTGGGAACCTGTCTTGATTTGTTAAGGCTTTTGTGTGGTCTCCATCTGCAGGAGCTTTCCCTCGAGCGGGCAGAGGAAGAACCGGTACAACAAACCCTACGCAAAATCTGGTGAGGAGGAGCTGACTGGATGGGGACACCTCCTTTGCGCTCCTTCCTTTTTCACCAGCCCTTTCCCCAATCTCAACCCAAACCATCCCCAAGTTTATAAAACCCAAACAACTCAAAACCCCACAAATTCTGAAATTAGATTGGGTAGGAAGTATTTAGAAATCAGATTAATGACAAAATGAAGGTGATTTCCATCCTAGTGACT